GTTTGCAGCCACCATGAACTGCAGCCCCGCCATGCCACCCTGCCTTGGAGCCAACTGAGTATGGATTGAAACCTCCAAAAGCTGTAAGAAATAAACTTTCCTTTCCCAACTTGGTGCATCAGGTATTTTGTCTCAGCGACGAGTATAAAGTAACCAAGATATGTGCACTCAGCAAACATGAGCAGTCACCACATCATTGCTGTAATCACCCCCTCCCCAGTTCATCCCCACTGTGCCTCATCACTGTGCAGGGTGCGGCCACTGAAACCCCCTCTTGCTCGTTCTGTTTTCAGATCTTTGAAGTGGTGGGAGTACAGAATAAAGGTGTGGACCCATGGGAACTGTGGCTACCTAAAGGTCATTCGGCTGTCTTCTTCTAGGCCTACTATAATTTGCATAAGTGACCCCTAACGACATGTGTTAGAAGTTTGGTCCTCAGGATGGCACCACTGGGAAATGACAGAACCTGTATGAGACAGAACCTTTTGGTGACAAACCCTTGGTTACCGGGACATGGCACTAAGCGACCTGTGGCCTTCTTTCTGTCCCTTCCTCTTTGTATCATGGCCATGTAGTGAGTAGCTCTGCTCCCTCCTGCACTGCCATCTGCACCTTACCAGAGGCCTAAAGAAATGGGTCCCCCAGCCATGAGCTGCAGCCTCTGTAACTGTGAACCAAACGAAATCTTACTGTAAGTTAACTGCCTCACAGAAAGTTAACACAGGTGACCACATAGCAAGGACACAAAACGGGCAGTGACAAAATAGGCCAAGACCTATAGCAGTAAGGGGGTGGTGCAGCTGAGTGACAGATGAGCCGAGCAGAGCTCGGGTCCCAACTCCACATCAGGACCACTCCCCCCACGCTGTGGAGACCCCCAGCCGTCACTGTCCAAGCAGCCCTGGCCCAACTGACCTTGTCTTCCAAAATGTCCAGGGAAGACCCCCAAAGAACATACCCAAACCTTAGGGGAACACCCTGAGAAGTACAGAATTCTCCAAGGCAAACAGGTCTGCTTCCTGGTTTAAAAGACATGGTGGCCATGCCTGAAGAGTACAATCCCTGCTCAGAGCCCACTTGCCCAACAGTGGAGGTATCTCAAATCTGAGGATAAAACTGAGCCTAAAGAAAGGCCCATTTCTAGCAAAATATCACCTTTCTTGTGTGCATGTCCCCAAAAATTCTAGAACCAAGGAGGTACTGATTAGTACCTCCTTAGTAGGGCAAGCAAATCCTCACCAAAGAGGTACTGTATATCTGGGATTATTCACATCTTTACAGCTAAATCATGGGTTCAACCAAAGCCCACGTGTGCAACTGTGCATGCTCATGTGTACATGCATGGGTATGTACGTGTATAGCCTCAGACCTAACTGTGTATGTGTGCATGGCCACGTGCAAGTATGCTTATGTCTGTAGGCATTTTTTATGCTTATATGCACAAGTATATGTTCATGTGTGCATTTGTGCATGTATGCTATGCATATGTGTGCATGTGTGGCCATTCCTAGACAGGGTGATATAACCCCCTCACAATTCACCTGCCCTAAAGATGGTGACATCTCAAGAGACAAAAGACCAAATATAACCCTAATATCTGCATTCCAGGTTTCTCTCCAGGCTTTTGTGTCCGGTTACAGTGCAGGAGTCAGCTCCAAGATAGAAAACCCACCGACCCCCTAGCCCTCTGGATCTCAGAACTCTTGGCAGCCCTCCTGTCCGGCAGCCTGTGCCTGAGGGATGTAACCAGAGGCTCTCCTCAGAATCCCACCACCCCTCCCAGCTTGCCCTTCCTTCGGCCTCAGCTCCCTGTCTCTGGGAATCTTCTGAGAGAAGTAAGGGAGACATCAATGCTCTGGCATTCCTGGGGCATGAACTTCCCTTAGCCCCCACCCCTAAGGCGGCTGCATCCTGGGGTCCTTCACTGGCCTCACTAGGTCCGCACTAGCCAGAAGAGGCCACAGCAAGCCTGGCGCACTGCTAGTGATCTGCTGCCCTCTCCAGTCTAACTCTTACTCCTCAAACTGAGCAGCAACTCTGCCATCCCATCCTGCATTCACAGTGGTGTCCCACCCAAGCCATGGGCAGAGAAACTGGTCAGTAGCAAGAATAAAGCCTGCTCTGAGCCCCCAATGAAGGACGCTGGCTTCCTGGGGGGAAGACAGCTGTTTGCCTCACTTTCTGTGGAAGACAAAGCGGCTCTGAGTGGCCACCCACATCCTGCTTTGGCTGCTACTCACCTGACCTAGAGTCAGGGTGCCCCTCAAGAGACCAAGCTGTGAGCAGGACAAAAGGGCATGGGGTCCTCTAGCAGCATTCACATTTGCCCCCTGGACCCCACCCTTGTGCAGCACAGGTTTGTCAGAATCATATGGTCAGGCCCGGAGGGCACGGAACCCACAAAGAGGGGCTGCTCACTCCCTTGTGCTCAGAGGGGTGGGCAATGAAGCACAGGGTCTCTCTGGGGCAAGACTGGGGCAGAGACAAGGACCAGACCCTGGGGCACCTTGGGCACTGAGCAGAGATGGGGCCTCTCCTCCTGGCCCTGAGGATGCGCACCCTCCTTCCTCTCCAGCCACTGGCTTCATTGCGCACTTGGCTGACCCAGGCTCACCTAGGCCCTGTGCCTCTGCCGACTCCCAGCTCCTCCTGCACTCCCAATCTTCCCCCAAGACCTCTTCATGCCCTATCACAGATGACCTGTCCTCCCAAAAGCTGGAGAGGATAAGGGGTCCTATATACATCTCCTCAGAACATGCTGAGTGCCACCCACAGGCTTGGTGGTCACCCTGCAGAGCAGCTCGGAGTGCCTGGACACATGGGGAAGGGAAGGCGCTCACCAACATCCCGAAGGCTAAAAGGCTGCACTGCAGATGTGGTCTGAGATGACCTCGCCCCAGGTCGTTACAGGAAGCCAGCAGGTCCATCAGTCAGTCCCCTGCTTGCCCCAGAACTGTCCTTTCAAATGGACACTTGGCAGAGGTGAAGCCTGATTATTTGGGTAGGAAGCAGGCTGTCCCAAGCACCCAGTACTGTACCCACAGACCAGGAAGGGAATTACACACCAACTGATACAAACCAAGGGTCAGGCAGCCCACTCTTCTCTGCTGCGCTCCTCCCTGGGTCCTTCTCTTGGTCCTCCTCTGCAGCAGATGGACTGTGAGAGACCGCTGCGAGTGGACAAGCCTGACAGCTCTAAGAGAGAGCTATTATTTCAGTTCCACAAAAACTACACCATATATATATATATATATATATATATATATATATCCACAGAATATGTTTAAAATGTCATAGGGGACAACTATTCAAATGCCTTTTCTAATAATTAGTTTCCCTAAAAACCTGAACATGAACATTCTCAAAGCAATTCTAGGCTACAGAAAACTGTGAGCACCAATCACAAGGGGACAAATAGTGAAGGAGACCACGGTTTTCTTGTATACATTGCAAGGGACATCTAAAGGGACTCTGCAGTGTCCACATCATTCCCACAGCTATGCAAGATGTCTACAGCAACCCACCAAGATACACAGCAAGCGTGGTGCCGAGTCACACAGAAACACAACACACAGACCTCAGTTCACAGCTCGCCTCTGGCCAGTTACTTACGTCCTAAGTAAAGGCACAGAAGGCCGCTCCTAAGGAAGAGAACAGAGTCCTAACAACTGCCCCAAACCACACATTTCCTCCAGCTGACACTCAGGACAGGAGGCAACCCACAAGCCCAACCAGTGAGCACCTGTGGGCCAGCAAGGATGGTCAGTGAGGACTTCAGACCCTTTTAAGAAAGGTCTGGAGCCGGAGAGACATCAAGTGGCACTGCAGGCTGGTAGCTTTACCAGTACCTTAGAATCCATGATGAAATCCTAACATGGCTTGCTATGGGTGGGGTCAGAAAAAGAAACGAGAGCTTACTTGGCTGGCTGCATCTTCCCAGGAGTGGGAAACACACACCAATGGCACTACTGACACAGCCCTTCACAAACCACAGCGTGACACAACCTCCAACTTCCACAGCACATGCCTCGCTTCCCGACACCTGACATGGCTGAGAGCCGGGAATGTGCCGCAGGCCGGGCTGCTCCTCCAACTCGCCACCTGCTCCACACTGGTAAAGAGAGGGGAGTTCGCAACTCCCCTTCAGGGCGGGGGACAACTGAACACCAACGGCAGCTGGCAAGCACACTAGCCACAGTACCTCCTCCAGCTCGACGGTGACCAGCGCTCGCAGCGCCTCTTCCCCACCAAGACCACGCACACGAACACCCTGTGTAACAGGCCCTGCCTCCTGGTGCTTCTCTCAGCCTCATGCTCAAGCGCAGGAATGACTTCCAGAGAAGCCCAGTGAATCCACGCAAGAAAACGGCACAGGCACTCAGCCACTCAGTGTTTAAACCATTCAAGCAAAATTCCGCGAGCGATTTGGAGCTGCAGTGAACACGAATATCCCACTTGACCAACCTTCAGAGTGTGAGACCAGTTTTTTATGCTCGTGTTGTGCATTCCCTGATGAAATACTAAGTCTGGCAGGGCGAGGACGTGAGGACTCCTGAGACGACACTCATTCCGTATCGTTATCTCCCACATGTCAAAAATGGGGACATAGACCTGCACGCACGTGTCTATCTGCAAACTGTACAAGGAAAATGCCGTGAGGAACTGTCTGCACTTGAATGGACTGAGGGCGAGTGGGCAAAAGGACAGAGACGAGCCAGCCACGGGGCACAGGGGGCAGAGCTGAGGTCACCTGCAGGTCTCCACCTGAGCTGGGGAACTGAAACGCTAATTACAACTCCAGCTCTAAGAGCTGCTCTGCCCTTTCAGCAGAAGCCACTGCGAGGCAGTCAAGCTCCAGCAGTCAGTCTCGGACGGCTCCCTGCTGTCCACCTACCTGAGAAAGCCCACTGCGCAGAGGGCGACCTCACCACTGGCTTCGCAGCAACCACAGAAACAAGCCTTGTCCCCACAGGCAGGAGTGAAGGACGAGAGACACAGACTTGCTAACAGGTGTGTTTATTAAGGCTTGTATTCTCCTAGGGGACAGCAATCCGGCGCTGTCCAGGACTCTGCACAGGCAGTAACAGCTCAGAGGAGGTGACACATTCTAAATACAAGTCTAAAGAATACAGCTTCAGCTTTAACTCAGAGGGTCTTCTGGAGTAAATAGTTTGGGAGGCATCTGCTCTCTAAGACGCAAGGATCCTCTCTACTGTGGGTGCGTGCAGATCTGTGTGCGAGGGCAGGGGGCACGAGCGCCGCTTGCATGCTAAACTCCAACTGCGGGCAGCTCCTTAACAGCCCCTCATTCCACAACATGTGACAGCAAATTATTTCCTCAAGGGATTTTTTGTGTTTTGCTTTTTTAAACTGTTCAACAGGAAAAGAAAAATCAAGATGCACACATAGTATTTGTCAACAGCATCGTCCATCACACTGCATTATCAGAGCCTACATTTAAAGCTCAGCATTATTAGTAAAAAAAAAACTTAGGACAGCATTATGATTATCAAGTGAAGAAAGGGGCAAATTAAAAACGATGTGCAAAGAACGAGGAACACACACACAGAAGCAGACCTCAAACACCTTCCAAACCCTCGGCAGCCGTGGACAGCAGGCAGTGAGGGGCGGTGCAGCTGCTGAGTGGGCAGCACACCGCAGAGCGCTGACCTTCCGAGGGCAACTGTAGTCACATTTGAACAACTAAAATCTACCTTTCTGCCTAGCAGGAAAACTAATGGCAGATCAGCGTTTGAGAGAGCATGAACCATAAAAATGGTGAACCAGCCCGACGGGGCAATCACTGACCTTCTGATTTCAGTACTGTGAGGAGATTCCAACAGTATACTCTAAAGTAAAGGGGTAAAAACTCTGAAGTATCCTATAGAAATATTAAATGATTGGATATAAGAATAAGAACATAATTTCTGCCAAAATAAAAAAAAAATCTTTGGGATGTATTAGATTTTTTGTTTTTAAAGATATTTGTATTTCGCATTAGGTCTGATAAGCTGACAAAAAATATTCTTTTATTAGTGAGTTCTACAGTATTATAATACATAGAAAAAATACAAATGAACACAGATCTATCAGCAAAAATGAACTGTCAAGAAGGTAAAGATGAAACACTCAGTCTCGCACAAGGATGATGCACTGGAGCTGACACCAGGGGCAGCACCCGGCATACAGCTTTAAACCGTTTTCAAAACCAACAGTGAACCACAGAAGACACTGGCTTGTCCTCATTGTTTGTTTCGATTCTGCCGCTCCTGTAAAAAGAAAGAGAGGAGTTTAACACACTAAGCAGCCGTGATGTGACGCCCAGGGGACTCCCCACACAGGTGGGCCCGAGGCTGCCGTCCTGCTGCAGTCGCAGCTCTGGATGCAGGGCCCTCTGCTCAGCAGTCCAGGCCCCTCCACACCCACGCTCTGAGCAAGCGCCAGGGCCCTGGTTCCGCAGACCACGCCCCCCACCCCACGCTGCAAGGCTTGCTGCCCAAGCCGTCACAGCCCTCCCTCACAGGCTACTGCCACGCTACGCGGGAAAACATTAGAAATACACACAAGCACCCGAGCCCAGAAGAAAAAAGCATGTGAAGGGCATGCAAGCATGCCAGGAAGTGGGAGCTGTTCTGCGTTTTCTCTTGCCTAAACCTCTCAGTGGCTCAAAGGACACCACAGGCTGTCTAACTAGCTAAAAAGGCAGACCCTGTGCCGGGTGTGGTGGTAGAGACCTGTTTCCAAGCAACTTGGGAGGCTAAGGCAGGATTGCAAGTTTCAGCCAACCTAGGCAACTTAGAAGGACGCTCCCTATCTAAAAAGAAAAAAATAAAAACTAAAAAATGTAAAGAGCTGTGGATAGGGGCTGGGGATTTAGCTCAGCGGCATAAGCGCCTGCCTTGCAAGCTGGCAGTTGTGAGTTCAATCCCTGGTACCTATAAAAACGAAAAAGACAAAAAAAAAAAAAGAGCTGTGGGTATAGCAAGCAAGCAAGCCCCTTGGTTCAATTCTCCAAAGGGGGGTTTTAAAAAAGAGTTCTGAGTTACTTGGCTAATGAAGAGTAGGACAAGCTGGGGTCCATCCAGTTTGGGCACTTTCTCCACACTTCAAATCTCCTCTGTGCCAGTTAAAGCTATTTGTCAACTGGACTGGATTGGAAGACCCTGGAGCAGTCACAAGACTGAGGGCACCAACAGCATCTGAAGGCTGACCCACTGGCGAGCTCATAGTCGAATGGGCTGTGATAGGGCCAAGTTGGAGAAAGTGTCATGTGAACAAGACTCTGGGACACCTGGTGCCTGGTCCCTCCTGCCCTGTCCTCTTGCTTTCCAGATGCCATGACAACAGCATTCAACCATGCTCTTTCACCACTGTTTTTACCTCAGAGCCAGCCAACTAAAGACCGAGACAAACCGCTCTCTTCCTTCAAGGCACGCCCATCAGGTATTTTGTCTCAGTGATACAAAGCTAATACATCCTCTACTGTCAAAAAGAACCCAGTGACCTCTGGCAGTGCTGACCAGTTCAGGGGAGATGGCTCTGGTCCAGCTTCCTTCCTATCTGCATAACCACAGTAGTCTTTTCCAGAGACAGTACTCTTTTCCTGACATTAAGTTTGGAGTTCGCACCTGACCTTATTCCCAAGTTTGCCTACATGGCTTCTAATCAGTGGGCTGTAACACTTGTGGCCAGTGGGGAAGCTCTCAGGACCTCTTTCCTTACCACGCAGCATCTAAATTCAGCTCTCAACACAGAAACACGCACAATGCAAGAAGCCCCACCATGCTCCGTCACAGGGGCATCCCCAGCACGTCCACCCTGAATGAGAGCTAGCACAACGCCAAGAAGGTGAAGTACAATTTAAGCAACAATGAATCCTCTTCCGATGAAGAATGAACATCGTCTTCAAGTTCACACCAACACTGTCCCTAGCTCAGGGCACAGCATTAGTGTGGCCACTCCTCACACAGCCCTGGGCAGCTCCCGCATGGAGGAGCCTCCAGGGTATCTAGATTGAAGAGAAGGCAGGTGGCCACTGCTCTAAGCATTAACATCTCCCCCTACCTGAAGTGTTAACCTGTATTTTGCTTTCCCTTAAGAATTCTCTAAGCAGATGCCAGTCTTTTCAATCCAAATGGCTACTACTGAGGAATCCAGAGTGGAGACTCGGCAAGTGCTGCACACTGCCCTCCCTTTGTGATGAGCTACAAAGTTCACCACCTGCTCTCTCTCTCTCTCTCTCTTTTTTTTTTTTTTTTTTGTTTTGTCTTTTTCCTTTTTATTGGTACCGGGGATCGAACTCACAACGGCCTGCTTGCAAGGCAGGCGCTTATGCTGCTGAGCTAAATCCCCAGCCCCTACCACCTGCTCTTAAAGAGTAGCATCAATCATAAAACTTCTTAAAAAGCACAACAGTTTTAAAGGAGCATTCCACATGCATGCAGGAATGCTTAAGTTCTCTCCTCTACTCAGCTTCCAAAGCTGGGTGTGCGGCCTACACTGCAAGGAACACCCTATTTTTACCTCTTATGCACTGGGGTTTAAAATCAAAACAATGTATCACCCTAGGACTTGGCCTGACATAGTTGCCATAAAAGTTACAGCTTTCATAAGAAGTAAGAATGTTTCCACATTTATAGCTAGAAACTTTGAAAGGGAAACTGAAAAAATGTCAACTGTGAGTTACTTTGTCAACATTAGGTACTTTTAAATTATGAAAACTTACTGCTGCCTGGTCTCTCACCAGTGATGAACAAAAGAGGGTCCAATCTCAGGGCCTGAGAGTTTCCCCACTGGCTGAATATACCACAGCCCACAGACGCAGTGCCTCCAGAATCTGCAGGATGTTGTTCAGAAGGCTACGCTGCACTTCTCAGTGGAAACACAGGATCTCAACTCTGAAACACCCAGGGTTCTAACCCTGAATACATGATAATCCAGCCAATAGAATGAAGCCCAGAGTACTGGCAGCAGCGCAAGCACAGGACAGGTAGGGAGGGCATGGTGTCAGTCTGGGGGCTGCCCCAGAACCACCTGTTTCTCTATGCAGCCTAACGAACTGACCCACTGAACAGATCAGGGTTCTTATTTCTTACTTTTTTCAGAGATATGGCTTAGAGGCATAGCACCTTCCTGGCAAGCACAAGGTCCTCAGTTCAATTCCCAGTACCAAAAATAAATAATTTGTCGATTTCAAAAACACCAATTAACAACAAACACCTGGGTTAAAACAGCCCAGCTGACGTGGCTCAGGGCAGGGTCACCACACTCCTTCCCATGACACTTCCCAGGTGCTCCGGCAGACTTGCCTCCAGTGTTCAAGTGGTACAGACACTGAATGGGAGTGCACAGGTCGCTGGGCACAGGCTTAACCCAAGACCCCCAGAAACTCAGTGTTGAAGAATCGTATCGTTACTGTGAAAGTTTTAGAACACTAGAATTTTTTAAACAGACCTGAAGCAGGATTTCATACCGAAGCTCACCACTAACCTTTGGGACCCAGTGCACTACAGGAAAACCCATGTATACAGGAAAACCCATGTATAGAAGTTATCAAAATATTGAACACTTTAATTAAAAACAGATATAGGGGGCTGGGGATTTAGCTCAGCGATATAAGCACCTGCCTTGCAAGCAGGCAGTTGTGAGTTCGACCCCTGGTACCGATAAAAAGGAAAAAGACAAACAAACAAAAAAAAACAAAAAACAGACATAGTCAGGGACATAGCTCAGCAGCACAGCATCTGCCTGGCAAGTGCAAGGTCTGAGTTTGATTCTTGGTACCAAAAATATAAGTAAATAAAAACTAAAAATAAATATAGATGGATGATGGATCTGCTGACACAGGTGGATATAAGAGATGTAAGTGGACAGGGATGAGTACAGATGTAGCTACAGCTCCATGTCAGTAAAAACCACATTGCAGGGCTGGGGATTTAGCTCGGCGGCATGAGTGCCTGCTTGCAGCAGGCAGTCGTGAGTTTGATCCCTGGTACTGATAAAAAGGAAAAAGACAAAAAAAAAAAAAACCACAAATACTCCCCAGCTCTGAACACGCAAACCCATCCCATCACTCCTGCCTTCTTTCCTCGGAAGCAGACCGAGAAGTCTCTTTCTTGTCTTTATGAATGTGACCAAAAGTCCTGTGTACACTGCGGCTGAGCGCCACCATCGCCCGAAGAGGCGGCTGGGGACCCCGGTGCGTTCTCTCTGCCTCACTCCCACAGCTGCACTATGTGCTGCCTCTGGCTCTTCCTCGAAGCCAAAATGACCATGAAGGGCAAACATTTTCAATCAGTTCAGGACACTGAGGTGGCCACAATAGCACAATTAAAGACACTCACAAAAGGAACTTCCAGAGCTGCTTCAGGAAGTGACAAGAATGGTGTGTTTGAAGCCAGAGGTATTTTGTGCAGGATTACTGACAATGTGTCTTTTGCTGCAACGAATTTTTAATTTAAACATTCGCTGCATTTTCCCCCCTCGGTACTGGGGATCGAACTCAACTTCGTGCTTGCAGGTAGGCACTTGTGCCACTGAGCTAAATCCCCAGCCCTTCACTGTATTTTTCAATCACACCTCCTACTCAGTATTTATGAAAAAACTCAAGCACACACACAGTCAACTGCCAGTTTAAAGCCAAACCTGAAGTTAATTAACAAGTGTCCCTCTCTAGTCCTGCAAACTCAGTACAGCCATGCACTGCATTATGAGGTCCTTCAGGACAGTGGTCTGCAGGACCAACTAGTGACACTGCGGCCATCTCGTTCCGGAAGGTCATGCTCTGACAGCAGCAGAGCAGTGAAGACACACAGCAGCACTTGGCAGAGGGAGTCTCGCTGCGAGGCAATGCACTTTATTTACACCTGAAACAGTGAAAGCGCAGCCCTTCAGCACTATCTCAAACGACCGCCTCCGCCACCACAGGGTCATTATGTGGCGAAGTCAGTCTGGCGGCCCTGCCATACACCACCTGCACACCCGTCTGGTCCAAATGCGTAGGACTCGTACATTCATGTGAATGATCCCCCTGCTTACACAGAGGACAGGAAGACTGGAAAGCAACCTAGTATCAACTGACATTTTATGCAGAAAAGGAGGAGAGGACTTCAGGACAAACTCCCTCAGGGAAAGCAAGTTTTGTGAAGCATATTAGGTCTTTACTGTCCCTCTGGCAGAACGAGTTTGTGGGCATCTGGGTGCTGCCCAAGACCAGATGCGCTCACCGACACCACGAGGTCCTGGGCCACTTGGACTCTACAAGTTTTCACTGCAGACCTTACTTGTAGCTGGATTAGGACCACCTCAGAGACCCAGCCAAACGGAGCGATTGGGATTTTTTTTGGGGGGGGGGGTACTGGAGATCGAACCCAGAGCTTTCACACAAAAGCCCCCTTTTAAGTTTCTGTTCTGAGGCACACTAAACTGTGATCCTTCTGCCTCAGCATCCAAAGTGCTGGGGGTACAGCTGTGTACCACCACAATCTGCCTTAAATGTACTTTGTTTTGAACCCTGGCGACTCATAGCCCTGCCTCAGCCTCCTGAGTGCTGGGATTACAGGCGTCACCCCCACACCCAGCTTCCCATTTACTATTATTATAAAATGTCCGGACTTCATAATTGCCTTTTCTCCCCACTGTCTTTACTACTGTGATAGAGTCAGTTTAAGTTTCTAAAACCTGAAAGATACCAGGCTTTTAAAAGAAAAACACTAGACAATCTCTAGACCAGCCTAGTTTCCAGCATCAAGGGGAGGCCCCCCAGAAGCAAAGCCCCGAGGCAGTGGAACATTACTGCCTCTCCACGCCCATCTTCCAGGGCAGGGGAACATTCCATTCCAAGAGTTCTGGAAGGACACAGGCCAGCAGGCAGAGAGAGATTAGGAGTCAAAAACAAAGAGGAAGCTCCCTCCAGGCTCTGTAACTAAACGTGCACATGGCAGTCCCGATTATGTCCTAAACACTGGAAAGTGGTTGAAAGTTGTTCAGGACATCCTAAGATCACTTTCCCATGATCACTGTGAGGAAAACTGGATGAGGGGACTGCATCCTCTGGACCCCACCCCTGCCCACAGCCAGAAAGTGTCCTTGGACCCCTTGGGGGTGGAGCAGGTTTCCCCAGGTGGGTACCCAAGAGACACAACTCACCTTGCGCACCACCTCCTCCTCCTCCTGGCGCTTCTCATAGTGAGAAAAATCATCAAAGATGGAGGTTGTGTGCTTATAGGAAGCAATAATTCTCAATACTTGCTTTGCTTTTTCTAAGGGCACCTCCTGTGTGTCTCGGGAGTTTGTGACTGGTTTGTTGTCGTTGTTCTCCAGTCTGATGTGCCGGAGCTGGTTATTGGGCACATCTTTGACAAAAATCCACTTCACGTCAAACTTTCCCTTCCATTTGTCCTGAGACCAGACCCCAGCACTAGTGCCATAGTCCACAGGGGACTTCATCTCAGCCACGCCACAGAAATGCCCACTCCCATTGACACTGAAGAGCAGGTAGACCGGCCCCTTGCTACTCATGGCCCGGAAGGCGCTGTCCAGGCGCTTATTGCCATGTTCCGTGCTGCACCAAATGGAGTACTTGATGGAGCGGTGAATGTCATCCTCCGAGTAGCTCTTTATGATGAACACCCGCCCGCTTTTAAGATTCCAGTCAAATTCTTTAGGGTTGTAGCTGTGGGCAGCTTTCAGTTTCTCAAGGATGGGGTGGGATTCGACACTGGGGGCAGAATGAGGCTGGGCATTTGCAGATGAGTTACAATCACTGTTGGCCCCTCCACTCTGACCAAATGCTGCATTTCTATTCCGAGGGGCAACCCAGCGAGTCTGGGGTGGCTGCTGAGGGCTCTGATACTGTGGCTGGGCCAAAACTGGAGGCTGAGCTGGGGGAGGCTGAGCCACCGGCTGGGACTGTGGGGCAGATGGGGGGGCCGGTACCTGTTGAGGGGCTGGTGCCTTTGGCACAGGTCCCTTGTTGTCCCAGGTACCAATGTCCATGTTATGTTTTATGGGTGGAGGTGGCAGTGCCCCCCCTATCACAGCCCCGCTCTTTGTTTTCATTTTAGGCTGGGGTTTTGCAGGTTTGCTGGCAATGGCAGCCCAAGAGGTTGGTTTTGAAACTGGTATGCTTACATTTGTCCCACCATTCCCAGAAAGGACACCTGTCAATGCCACACTGTTGACAACTGAACCTACTGTCTTGACAGCAGAGGTAGTGACATCCCCAATCTTCAGGCCAACCATGCCCTGCTCCAAGCTGTTCATCCCAGGAGCCTTGCTGAGCGTGTCACTGTGAAAGCCCGTCTGCCCGTCAACGACCGAGCCACCCAGGGAGCTGGGTGGATAGGTGTAACTGCTGCCATATGCTGAGCTCTGAGTCTGCTGCCCTTGAGAACCACTTGTTCCCCATGCTGAGAATGCAGGATTTTCGGGGAAAAAATTAAACCTGTGCTGATAGATGTTGTTCCCCAGGCCCCCAGGCTGCCCAAAAACCGCATCATGCATAAAATGATGGTCTCCATTACTGAGCTGTCCATAGGTAGTCAGGTACGGAATTGGAGGGTCTCCTGCAGTGGACCACGGTGCCTCATTGAGGGAGTAAGGAAATCCAATGGATGCCGGGTAGTAGCTGGACAGGTAGGGATCACTCATCGAGGGATAACTGTTATTCTGTGAAGACAAACAGGTGACTAGTTAGGGCCGGGGATTTGGCTCAGCGGTGTAAGAGCCTACCTGACAAGCCCAAGGTCATGTGTTTGATCACTGGTACCAAAACAAACAAACAAACAAAAACAGGTGATTAGTCAGCCTGCTGCCACATAAAGAAGACATGAGCAGGCCAAGTACCTCTCACACACAGGCTGACAGGAAACAAGCTTGACAGTGGGGAGCTATTCCTCCTTAAAGGAAACTCAAGGTCACCAAGATGAGAACAAACAAAACACCGAGAAATGAGTAAGGAATCCACAGTCGTCACTCAGATGCAAAGCCTTATTTGCAATGATGCAGCCTCAAGTTGAACAGCTGAGCGGAGCCACTCAAGAGCCGGCTGCACAGCACTTTCCTGCTTTCACATCCAGGAGCGTCCAGCCAGAGAAATGCAGAGTTAGAAGTTCCTCCCAGCCCTGCAGCAATAATGCCAACACTAGTACAGAGCAAAACCAAAACAGCCTGAGAAGGCACTGAGCCGCTTCTGATGGCAAGCCATGGTGTCAGGGCCTCGAGCTCCAGCACCCAGGTCCCACCTCTGGGCCCTGGCCCCTTTGCCACACCTGGACCTCAGGATCCTCACTGCCCTGCATGCGCCCTTTCAGAGACCCCTTCCACATGCCTTTTCTGACAGCTGCCCCCACCTGAGTGCAGAGGTCTGTCTCTTCACTCTGGGGCTTCTGGAGCACAGTCATGGGCTCTCAGAGTGGGGCCTCTCCTAGCAGCTCCTCCAAGAGCGAGCCCTTTGAGTATGGGGAACTCTGTCCTCTGCCTACAGAGGAGACTTCACTTCTGACACCAGCCTCACTAAGCTGCCCTATTAAGGCTTCCCTGTCTTGCAGCAGCAAGAACGTCAGAAAGAGGCTTCAAGTGGCCATACCACAAGGCAGAATGGCCTGGGAGAGAATGTGATGTTTTCAGCACCTGTCTCAGGAGTTTCTGAAGCGCTGCCAGGGCAGGGGCGCAAACACAGATTTAGGCCAGCAGCTTTGGAGCACAACTCACGGCAGACCCCTCCAGGTCAGAACTCGGTCCCAATGGTGACAAAAGATACTTTCCTGTGGCACACCCGGGTAGCAGTGCTGGAGGAGTGGAAGAGCCCCATGCAAGGTCAAAAAACTGTGCTTTCTGAAGACCAGGAGACCATTCTAGAACCATCTTTTACACTGTAACAACAGTTGTTTCTCTGTAATAAAAACCTTTTTGAGGGGGCTGGGGATTTAGCTCAGCGGCACAAGTGCCTGCCTGGCAAGCACAAGGTCACAAGTTCGATCCCCAGTACCAAAAAAAAAAAAACCTTTCTTGAGTCTCCAAATGTAACACTATCAACATTCAGTAAACATGAGACAAATGAGCTTATCTTTCCTTGAAAGGAGTTCAAAGATTCTGGCTCCTTCACTGCAGCCTCCTGGTCATGTGAGTCTGCCCAGGCAACCCTACAACAGCTCTCTGGAGAGAGACTAATCAACAGAGAGGCCTGGGGAGAGACTGGTGAATTAGGAAGGCGGATGTGAGCAGAAGCAGGATGAAGAGGGGTCAGTCTTCAGCAGCTATAATCCCCTGGACACGTGAAGGGCCTATGGGAGAAGGAAGACCTAACGGCAGTACAGCATTCTAACCCAGCTGGCCACAAACAACACAGCAACAGCAGTGAGCCCACAGAGACACCCCTGGTGCTAAGGACTTATGCTTACCTGCAACAGGACATAATTTAGGACACAAAGTAATGTACATCAAGCTACGTACATGAAATTCCTGAAAGTCCACTTGAAGTGCGACGGTCAGACAAACAGTGCACACGTCACAGAGCCACAAAGGGCCTACCATGCTTCCCACGTTGCAGGCCAAGCAGCAGGTGGCTCTCAGCTGCTCTGCAGCCAGTGCTGTCTAACCTCACAACTTCACCAATGAGCCTTAAACAAATTCTGGAGTCTCTGTCCCTTCAGGACACTAACACAAAGGTCCTCACTTGTTTTCCCTTGTGAAAACCATCACATCCTAGGACAAGAAGTGGCACAGGTCAATGAAGAAGTGCGGGGGCCTCGGGAAGAGAAGTGGTCAGGCAGCCTGGGAGGCAGCCACCCTGAGAGGACCTTGCCCTTCTTCTGGGTCATCAGATGGGGTAGACTTTGAAAAACTGAACACTGCAAATGGTGGCTCTTTCCTGAACACTTAAGTTCATATAAAAATAGAAAAACTGATCAAGAGCCTTAATTTAAATTCTCAGGAGTTTACTAAGAGTTCCCTAAAAAGTGCTGCAGGCCTCTTGGGGCTGCCCCACACTGGACTATACCCTCCTCCACTTCCACATCAGCTCTGCCAGCAGCCGCCCATCCTCAGACAGCCACACAAGCACAGTGACCAAAGGAGCCATGGGCGTGATTTCTTTTCCTTTCTTTTTTAGCGTGTGTGTGTGTGTGTGTGTGTGTGTATGTACATGTATGTGCCCGGCGTGTATACAGGCATGGCAATGACAACTGAAGGCAGGGCCTCTGCACCAAGCTGTATCATCAGGCCTTTCTTAGTGTGAGTCAGGGTCTCACTTGGCTGTGGCCTGGGCTGGGCCCAAATGTGCTGTTCTCCCTCTGCCTCCACAGTGCTGGGATCACCGCAGTGTACCATCACACCCAGGATCAATTTCAATGTTTACCTCAATCCTACTCACAGCCTATTTTCTATGATCTCTGCCATATTTCCTTTCTATGCCTGGAAATAAAGCAGCAGGTTATTCAGGAAAGCTATCTGACACAGGCCATTCTCTACAGAAGAAAACCTGCAGGTGTTGTTACCAAATACTGTGTGCAGCAAATGCCTGCCCTGGGAAGGAAAGTGGCTCCCGGTCATAGTCGGCAGCACAGACCAACTGTTCTGGCCGGAACTGACAGCAACTTACTTCACACATGGCCTGGAAAAAGCCTGAGCTGCCTGTAAAGCGCATGGAGCCCATTCAAGCCCTCAGCCTCCCTCTGCCTCGTGCAGCACAGGCTCAGCACTCACACTCACAGCAAGACAGCCGCGGCCCAGGCCCTCGGCAGCACGGGGCTCCACAGGGCCAGCTAAGCGCCAGATGTGAAAGTCCACTTATCAGCAACACAAATGAGTAAGCTGGGGCTGTAAAAACAAGCTCAAGGCTTGCTCTCCACACATGGACACCTCTGAGCACGCCAGCTGGGGCCCCACAGTCCTCCTCAGGAGGCTGCTGGGTGCCGCCACATCCAAGACTTCGCGTCAGAGTCCTGGGATGACAGGGCCGCGTGAAGGAGGGTGACACACATTCCAGGCACAAGCAGAGCCCACCGACAGAGGTAAATGTACATCTCCACATCCCAGTGAACTGAAAAAGTGATACACAAAGTAGATATGCCAAACAAACAAGGCAATATTAGCTATCAGTGACTCTCATCTCTCCATTTGTTTGAAACGCCAAAAGGAAAACACGGGAGAACCACAACCTACTCTGGAATCAAGAGCATCTTTTCTGAACTTGTTACCTTGACAAAAAAGAAATGCCCATTCTGAATGACTAGAGTCAGATACTTTGCAACTGAAATGTATACTTCCTCCATTCATTTTTCTGAGGAAATTAAGTTTCATAAATAATAGAGTGACGTAGCATCAGTGTGACCGAGAGACTAAGGGCAGAAGCAGAAAGGTCCCCAAACCCAAGACAAGCAGAAGGCCTTTGGAGTGTGCTCGGAAGCATGTCCTCAAATCAAATCACTTATGTTAAAGGAAAACACTTGAGACAATGCTCAAGAGTAACTAAATGGCATGGGCTCCTGGAAAACAGTTCTGAACAGGGCAGGGAAGCCTGCTAGGCTAGCCACATGTCTTGGGAACAGGAGAAATGTCAGAGAAAAATTCAAGTTCCAAATGTTTATGCAACTGTCACTTAACCTATGTCTTCTTCCAAGGCTCAATTCTAGCACCTCAGCTGGCTGGCCAGAATTCCAGCAGAATTTCTGCATCTATTTCAGCAACTTGCCACAAGTACATGACCACTCACTGTGACTTTCCAGCTATATTTCTGGAAGCACGTGGGATGCCAAATGCTTACCTAATGGGCGTTACTCCTAAACCCCATATTCTTTAGATGTTACCAGAAGAAACCCATGCCAAACACAGGGTCAGGATGACCACATGTGCATGTGCTGGCCCCTCAAGTCATCCTAAACCAACCAAAACCACCCAGAAGCAGAAGTAAGCCATGTGCTAAGTTTCTCCCAAAGCTTGAAATCAGTGTTCCATATCACACCTAGAACACAACTTAATTCAAGAAAACAAAAACAAAAACAGGTGTTTCCTTACGTTTGATTCCCATCAGATGTGACCAGAAAAGTGAGTGTGTTAACAACTGAACACCTTAAATTCAAATAAAGGTGTCACCCACCTCTGCACCCAGTGCCCTTGGTTCATCTGCCAGCGCTGGTCAAGGTCACAGCACTCATGCTTAGTCTGCTCACCGGCTACAGAAGGCCCAGAGAACAGCAGCATCTGTTCCCGACTCAGATATCATGCAGAGGGAGTCTTTTACACTATGACTTAAGACCTACTCTGGGTCATCTCACAATCCTTTCTGACCTTTCAGAAAACAACAAGAACCAGGAAACTAGGTAGCTGGCAGGAAAGGCCTCAAACAAGAAAATCAGGCCAATCTGGGCATTCGTAGAGCCCTTCACTCAGAGTCTCTCGGTTCCCCCATTATTCACACACAACTGACCAGGAGGTAAGTATAGGACAGTACAGGGCAGTCTCATGGGCAAGGAGACAGAGAGAGGTCTTTCTCGATCTATATCAACCTAACTTAACTGCATGCTCTTACATGCTTCCCAAATCATTTTGTAAGTATCAGTTTCCAAAACAGAGGCACAACCACTACAAATCACATCTCGAATCAAAACAAGGGCTAACGGTAGGCCCATGACCTTCACTGTTGTCATGGCTCTGCAGGCAGGCTCTATGCAAGTCAAGTCATAAAACTGTGGGTTCTAAACAGGCGAACCTTACACCTCAACAAAGCTCACACACACACACACAACAACACACACAGGTACCTACTACAGCAAAGGGACTCCAAGCTTACCGTTACCAGCCACACCAAACACCCTCTCTTCTGGTTGAACAGACACAATTACAGTCTCCTTTGAGAATATAAGGGAACTTTTCTAAATGGCAACCTTAGTCCAAAGAGGTAAATCTAGAGGTAACAACAATTCCCAAATGACTCACGACTGAAACAGTACAATACAGAGAATTCAAGGCAAGTCGGCAGAACAAAATCACGGTCCCACCCTGGCTCTACCACCATGAGCATATCATGGGTTTTCGTGGCTCTCAATTACTTTATCTGTAAGTAGAAGTAAGGACTAAAGAGTTCTCTAATGTTATACGCTTCCCTGGTAGTTTTACTCTGCCTCAAAGAATAGGTAAAGCCTAGTCTTATTCTAAAGTAAATAAACATGATGTTTTTAAAGTGGCAGACATAGTCAAACCTGAATTCCAACTAGCCCAGTGGTTTTAACCAAGGCACTTTTGTCCACTGGAGACATCCACAGTTGGCACAACAGGGGTGGCAGTAACTAGGGAAGCGGGTAAGGGCAGCCCTGAGGCTGAGGAGGATATTGATGGAATGCAGTGAGTTGAAGCCAAGCAGACTGCTAAACACACTACAATGCACAGAAGTGTCCAAGACAATATTCTAGTCCAAAATGCCCACAGTGCCAAGGCTGAGAAACCTTGAACTACCTAACGAAAAAAAGCAGGCCAGGTATGGCAACACATGCCTGTAATTCTAGTAGTTGGAAGGCAGAGGCAAGAACTTCAAGTTCAAGTCAGCCTGTAATACATAATCCTAACCCTAACCCTGTCTCAAAAAAAGGCAGCTATGCTTGCTAGGTCTTGTATCTGGTACTTTCTTGTTACTCTAGAAGTACCTTCTAACATCATCCAGCAATAATTCTAAGCAAAGTTACTATCATCTCTGTGCCACACAGAAAGGGAACTAAGGACAGGGGATGGAAGCCATCTGACACAGGTGAAGTTAAATTTCAGATCTAAGGTGGGAGTCTAGCCCTATCACCCAGTTTAACTGCTCTCCCAGAAACACAATTCCAGCCTCCAGAGCTAAAAACACATGCCAGAAAGCTTCAAAGAACTATACAAACCTATACTCTTATGGGGCTGGGGATTTAGCTCAGCGGCATAAGCACCTGCCTTGCAAGCAGGCAGTCGTGAGTTCGATCCCTGGTACCGATAAAAAATGAAAAAAGACAAAAAAAAAAAAAAAAAAATCACACACACAAAAAAAACCTATACTCTTATAAAAAGCACCACATCACCAGCCCACAGATGCTGGGGTCCACTAGTCCCTGGGAACTGCCTATATCTCAGCCCCAAAAAGATACTCCTTCATCCAGAGAAAAAACCACCTGCATCAAATTCATGTCCCAGTCAAGCAAAAGGAAATGTCCAAAGCAAAATATTTTCTAGTCTGCTTCTTTCTTGTTTAGGATAAGGTCAGAAATACAACATTAAAGGTATATTACAAACAACTAAAATTAAATCTAACAAAATAAACTTACCGGATTGGACTGACCAGAAAGGTAGGGTTCAAAGTCACTGTCATGAACTGTATCCTTCTGATGCAAAGAACCATTTTGTACTAGAAAAGAGACGAGAAAATATTATCTCCAAGTTTCAAGTTTTAAAAAATTACTTTTCAGCATGAAAACTGAAGTCAATATTCTACTTTCATCAACTTCTATAGAAGCTTTTATTTCATTTTAAGATGGACAAAATCAGTATGGAGCTAATAAACATACCTTACTAGAATGGTAACAGAGAATTTTTAGGTTACACTAACATAATAATTTGTTGACAAAACAAATTAGAACAATAAATTCAACCAGGTTTGGGGAAACTGACAAGGTCTTGTTTTTCTTAGTTGTCTTAGGCACTACTGAGGATCCAATCCAGGGCCTCTTACCCCAGGACAACCACTCTACCAGTCACATCCCACCCATGAAACTGACAGGGTTGAAGACCCACCTGGTGCAAACAGAGCAGGGAGCCTCCAAAAAACTCAGCTAGTGTGGAGATCTTAAAACAAGATGCTCACCTGGAAAGGGGCAGTAATCGAAACTCACTATTACCTGGCTCTCCACTTACTTTCCACTGTTACAGTCAGAAAAGCCAGAAAAGAAAGGAAAGGTAAATAAAGTGTTGGGTCTTTTCCAATCTTAAAACACGATGAACCATATTTGGTTACACCCACGTAGCAACACACCATTTAAAAACAAATAAATATGAAGTGTCACAGGTTCTCTGAACAGTAAATTTCAGTGGTTTATCCTAAGGCAAAATATCACAGCAGAAGACAGGAGGCTGAGAAACAAAGGTTGTAACCCGGCAAGAATGTGGTCGGCCTTTCCCAAAGAGCCAAACCTTCCTGAGTGACAGTGGGTATGTTACTCAGCCCCTGGCTTCTGTCCTGTCCCCTGGACAACTTCATCTTCTCCCCCTGCCCCATGGAATCAATGATCCTGTAGGGCAGAGAGCAGGGAAAAACTGAATTACTCTGAACACCCTTTTATTCCATTTCTCCTTGAAACGCCCCTATCTTCGACCTTTAAAGTCTCCCAGAAATGTAAAACTTCATCTCTCCAAAACTGGTGGAGAAAAGTTAAGTTTCCGGTTCAAGACGCCACTTATGGACCTTCTCCTGCCCAGGAGGACAGGCGCTGCCCGCTCCCCCTAAGCCCGCACGGCCATCCCGGAACTCTGCTCACCTTTATTATCTTGTCCTTTTGTTCTCTGCATCGCCACAGGCCGGAACATGTGAGCGGACACGACCCAGCCCAGGAAAGGAAACACAAAGTTACTCTCCGGACAACGCTCTCTTTGGCGGGTGGCGCGACACCAGCCCGGCCTCGATGTTCCCTGCCCCACGACCCCGAATTGAACCCCACGACCTCATGACGGACCCGTGGACCCGGCCCCGCAACGCCAGCCTCGCCTCCAGGTCCCGGTCAGGAGCGCGCACTGCAGACCTGAGACCGGACTGCAGGTCCCCAGGCCGGCGCCCTGGACCTGAGACCCCGGCGTGACCGCCAGGTGACCCGGCCCGAGTCCTGTGATCCCAAACTAGATCTCAGCCCGGCCTCCAGGCTGGCGACTCTGACCCCGAGACCCAGGCAGGCCCAGCCTCACGTCCCCGCCCCGGCCCCTACCTGAGGGTCCACGCTGGTGGCCGACATGCTTCATGAACAGCACCGCGCGGGGCCGGGGCGCCCGCCGGCTCGGGCTTCCCGCGAGGCCGGGCTTGTCACTCCGCGCGCGTGGCCCCAGACCCCGCCACTTAGTCCACGGGCGTGGGCGGGCGGGCAGCGCGGGCGGGCAGCAGGCAGGGGCGGACGAGCTGGGGGGACCGGACTCCAATGGCGGCGGCGGCCCGGACGAGGCTGCGCGACGTCAGCGCGCGAGGCAGGCCGGGATCGCCGTCGGCCGCCGCTGCCACGCCTGCGCACCACCGCTCCGCGCGCCAGTTTTTGCGCTCCGGTCCCAGTCTCGCGCGCGCGGGGCGGAGACAGCAGGGCTGGGGCGGGGACAGCCGGAGAAGGACGCGGTTCCTTGCGGCTGCATTCGCTGCGTAGGAAGCCGGTAAGGGCGGCCAGTTATGCACCTGTCCTTCGGCCGCGACTTCAGAAGCGGCTGCTGAGCTCGGCTGGCTTCTGCTGCTCTGAGTGCCGTCTGGGTCCTGCAGGGGGTTGCCAGCTTATAGCCAAGACAGCACGTTAGATTCTGAACTCTAATTTCTTCGCCCAGGAGAAAAGAAAATTGAGCCATGCTCTGTGTCCTAGCACAGTCCACGCAAGAGGCCTTTGGTCTTTGTTTTAGGACCGACGACTCCTTTCTGGTTCTTAATTCTCCCCTAAACCCCATAAGGTCCTCAACCAGGACAGTCCTCTGATCAGGTGTTATCCATCCCTGTCACCCCAGGGCCATTGCCCACCCTGGCTTCCACCTTGGCTTTTTTTTTTTTTTTTTTTTTTCTTTCTGGCATAGGGTAGCATCCTCATGAGACTCAGACCTGAATCCTGTCTTCATTTAGCTGAAAGAGAGACCTGTATGCTAGCTGAGTATAGGGTACCAGGCATGTCAGGCTGGCAAGTGTGACCCCATCCCCTCCAAAGCAAGTACAAGCAGATGCACTGAGCACAATGAACAAGACTGAGATCTCAGCAGATCATGGGAGGCTCCAAATCTATGCTCCCACTTGGGTGTCCCTGGGGCCCTGACCTAATATTGGGGAATGCTGGCCCAGCACAAAGGGAGGAGACTTGTTTGATGCCCCAAAGAAGAATCCTGAATACCTAGGGACTTTGAAACACTTAAGCCATGGCCAGTTTGTGCCAACATGAAGTCCACCCATTTAGATAGATCTGAAAGTGTCCAGAACGGTAGCAAACAGGGAAGACATTCTGAAATCACAGCTGCCAGCAAGCTAACTGAGGGCCAGAGCCCTGCCATCCGCCCCTGTTTGGTGAGGATAGGCCACTCAGAGAGACGATTTCTATTGCTTGCCAAGAGCCTGGACACTCAGCCTTGCTGGAACCTCTGCCCTCTTCTCCCACCTCATATCCCCCCAGACTGTGCAGTGATCACCCCTGAGGTTGGGGACCACACGGCCAGGTATGGCTCCTCTAATTTTCAAGGCTTCTTTTTCATCTGCCAATGTCCAAGTAGTGACAGGAAGCCACATTGGCCCTGTGGGAAGTGGCCACTGACAGACTGGGTAACTTTGATAGATCGCTCTATGGGTGCAAGCTCTCACTTATGTAACTTTCCTGGGACCACTGTAACAAAGTACCACAAATTGGATGACTTAAAACCACAAAAATTTATTCTCTTCTAGCTCTGGATGCTAGAGTATGAGATCAGTGTCCCTAAGCTGAAATCAAGGTGTAGACAGGGTCAAGCTCCCTCCAGGGGATCCTAGGGAGAATCTTTCCTTCCTCAGCCACCCTCCAGTAGTGACCAGAAGTTTTGGCCTGCCTCGGCTTCCAGCTCTGCCTTGGTCATCTCAGAGCCTTTTCCTCTCTCTGTCTCTGTATTGTTTTTTTTTTTTCTTTTTCTTTTCCTGTATCTCTTCTTACAAGAACACTATCATTGAATTTAGAGCTCCCTGTAATCCAGAATAGCCTCATCTTCATGTGATTATATCTGCAGAGATCTTGCTCTTGGATAAGGTCATATTTACAGGTCCCAGTGGGTGGGAGTTTGGGAGGACACTCTTCAGCCCAGTGCAGGAATCACAGGTAAGGAATGCCACAGGAGTATTTTGAAGATGAGTGCCCAGGGGCTGAGTAGGCTCCATTCACACATGAGGACAGAAGGATGAACCCCCATAATGTGGCGCTTAAGGAGGCACTATCAGGCCAGCTCAACTCTGCCAGCCAACTACGCAGGGGGGTGGGAGGGGTGAGGACTGTACCAGTCTCGGTTGGTAGGAAACAGAGGCACCTCAAAGCAGCTTGAATACAGTGCATAGGTACAGCAGACCTGGCCTACCATCTCTAACCACAAGGGGCCACAGCCACTGCTATGAGTCTACTGCTTGCCAAGAGCCTGGACACTCAGCCTTGCTGGAACCTCTGCCCTCTTCTCCCACCTCACATCCCCCAGATTATGCAGTGATCACCTCTGAGGTTGGGGACCACACGGCCAGGTATGGCTCCTCTAATCTTCCAGGCCTCTTATTCATCTGCCAATGTCCAAGTAGTGACAGGAAGCCACTGGACCACAGACCAGGACCAGCTGGACCACGGACACCTGCCCCAGGCTCGCCTTCCTAGCCCAGATCCCTTTGGACCAGCAGACTCCGGGCTCAGGGGCCCCAGAAGACACTTGACTGCTCAGCACCTTGGAACCAGCCTTGGGGACTGAGCTGGGCTTCTCAGGCTCTGTCACTGCTTGCACCCCTGGCTCCTGCTCTCCCTGCCTGACCCCTGCTCAGGCTTCAGTCTCAGGAGCCAGGTGATGTGGCGTGGGGCTCCCTGTACCTCAGAGCCCCTGACCTTTATGTGACTAAAGCACAACTGTAAGCAGCTGTGTATGTCATCAGCTCAGTATCCGATGCACGGGAGGGACCCCATCTTGACACTGCACACTTAGAAGAATGCGATTGATTGTCAGTCACAGAGACACCAAAGGTCATTGTGGCACTTGCTCTGCCCCAGGCCCTTTGATCCTATATCCACTATGCATGGGCTGGACCAGAGTTCTGGGTGTGGACTGAGAGGTCACCCAGCATCAAAGAGGCCCAAAGATCACTGAGGCCACCTGCTTCAGCCTGAAGGGCATGAATGGCTCCTCCTGTCACAGGCAGAATGGGTACCACGGACCTCCACAACCTCTGCGGTGGCCCAGGGATCTTGAGACCAGGAGAGGCCACCCCTGCTGGCCATCCATTCTGCAGAAGTTTTCTCACTCAGGGAATGCAGTGTCAAGCAAGCACCCCTGCCTCCTGTATCCAGGTGGTGTGGGCCTTCCTAGAAATTACTAGCATTACAAGGTTTCTTTTTTATTTCAAAGTCATTCAGGCATACAGTTTAAAATTCACCTTTGTACTCTTAAGTGCTCAAAATGGAAAGGCAGAAGTTCCTGGCCCCTCACTGCACTGCACTGCAGCAAAGGTCTGTCCATCTGTCCGTACCTGCCCTGCCTCTCACTGCCATGGAAACTGTCCTGCAGATCCACAGGATCAACATCTACTGTCCACCTCGCTTGCTCCATTCCAGAGAATGTTTGGGTCCCAGCCTCACTGCAGTAAGTGTGCTGGCCCCTGAACACAAACCTGTATGAGGTCACCTGGAAGGCTCCTGCAGGCCAGTGAGTTGGCCGCTTTACAGGTGTCAGATGGCACTGGGAAGGCTGCACCAGTCTCCAGCTGGGAGCGCTGAGCCAGGTCCAAAGGCTGCAGGCCCTGGTTCAGATGACAGCTGGCTACTGCACACCCCTCCTGGTGCCATAAGTGGCTCGCCCCACAACGGATCTCTTGAGGGGAGCTCAGCAGGATAGCCAGGTACCTCAACAGGCAGCAACCATTCTCTGTGATGCCTTCTGGGGTCTAAGTACCTCCCTCAGCCTAGCAGCAGGACCTCGCTACTCCACAGGCCTCCTTCCAGAAACCTGGGGCTGCTTTGTCCTCCATGAAACCTGCTCATGCTCTTGAAGGTTCCTTTTGCTTCCCCACCCCTTGGGAGCTGCCTTGACTTCCTTCTGTGAATCACAGCACTGGACAGTTTGCAAACTCCTCTCTAAATGTCTAATTGGGTCTTTTATTACAAAAGGGTTATTGCACACCTACCACACGCCTGGAGTGTTTGGGGTGCTGGGGGTACAAGGCAGTCCCTTCCCTGTAGAGCTCCTATGGAGGGACACTCAGCCTGCAAAGGGATATGTCTCATTGCCCTCATTGGGCACCTGCTGTTTGCCAGGACCTTGAAGGACTGGGGTGGAAAATGAGCCAGGTGTTGCCACTGCAATCCAGACAGGAAAGGGATAGAAGAATAAATACACCACTTTGGTCAGAGCTGTGATGCAGGCAGGGACCAGGATGGAAAGGACCCAGGAGAGGAGCCCTCCGTAGCCCCATAGGTTTCTGGAACCTGCTCTGACCTGAGATGGGATGAGCCAGCATTAACCAGCTGAGGGTGTGGTCAGGTAGGCAGGATTCTCCAGGCAGATGGCCAGTGGAAGCCAGGGCATGAAGAGGCTGCCTGTCTGCTGCAGGGAAGCTCCTTGTGGCAAGGGCTGCCCACATCCTTTGAGTGCAGGTACAGGGGTAATGGCATAGGAAGAGGCACAAAACACTCAGATGAGAGCTGATGAAGGAGCTGGAAGCTGCTCTGAGTCCTGGCATGGAAAGAAAGCCCCCAAGAAGTCAGAGAAAGTGTGGGACTGCGTGGCCAGCCACAGCCAGTCATAACACTTCAGCCTGCTCCTGAGCCCTAGCACCTGCCCTTCCTCCCTGCCCTCGGTTGTGTTCCCTCTCCTTGACATTCTGAGGAGCAGGGAGTAGCCCCAGATGCACCCACCAGCCCTTGCTCCCTGCATTCCCAGGAATTATAGCTGGGCTCCTCGACCCCACTTTGCCAAGGGTACCTTCTCCCACCATGCAATGCACTGATCCCCACGACAGTGCCAGGTGGTCCAGGGCCCAGATGCACTGAGGACAGCAGCTCAAGGCTCAGGCTGAGCAGGATGCAACACTGGCAGTGTGTGCTCTTGTGGTGCGTCCACCTCAGGCCGCATGACCTCCAGCCAGCCATGCAGGGTGCTGCAAGAGGCGCCCCACTCCTCCCAAGAAGAGAGAGCCTGCGCCTGGCCATGGGGTGGGGGCCACTGAGCCAAAGTCCCCTGCAGGAAGTGATGGAAATGAAGCACCCGGTCAAACACAGGAAAAGGCTTTGCCC